ATGTGTAAATGTGTAAATGTGTAAATGTCTTTTTTCGGTGGACAACGTTAGACATTGACTGTATACCTAATTCAAAAAACGTCGTCGTCATTGTGATAGGCGATAGGCGATAGGTCATTCCAAGATCCACGAATAGCAGGAATGACTTGTGTGTTTAGTGAGAGTAACCGGTAGGAAGACATAGGTTAAATGCCATCTAGAAGGACAATTCATTTGTGACAGCAACAAAAAATAACGGACGAAATGAAAAAAAGTTAATAGAGCCTATGCAGAGATATATGAAGTGTCGAACAAAGTAACAACTGCGAATGCGCAGTATGTTTAAATGGAAAGTTCTTTTGTCCAAAACGCATCCCACATGGAAGGAAGTGACGATTGGGGTTTAATGTTCGATGATGTGAATCATACGTCGGGACTGCTGGTCATAGCAAGGGGTTAATCATCTATGGTCTAGGGGCCGACTAACCTCTCCCTTAGGCTTTTGCCGAGCTTCCTGATCAGTCTGTAATTCCTCCCGGGGATAGCGGTGTTGGGGTCGAAATCTCTGGCATAGCCGTAAATGCTTCGCGCTGCCATACGACGCTTCAGCATTCGGGTCTGGGAGTATAGTCTTCGGTTAGTCATTTATTAATCAATATAAATAATCCCAAAAAAACAACAAAAAACTAGAGGTTCTTTCAGGGTTCGTTTCGTTTCCCCATTTCAAGCGATGTGCATTCCCTAGAGTATTATCTTTGTCTAACGGTTGCGCATGAGAAGACATGAATATGAATACACCTCAAGCAAATACCCCATTCACACCTAAACGTGTTTAGTTAAACTGTGTTTTCATTAGGAAAAAAAAAAACTATCGTCAAAGCAAGACAAAGGATAGTTTACATGCATTATTTTACCAAATATTGTGCAGTGTTCGTAGATAGTTTTCCAAGCCTGTTTAGTTAAACCACTTTTAAACATGTTTAAGCCTTGGTGTGAATGGGGTAAAAGAGTTTTATTCTCAAGAGATTGTAACGTAAGTGGTCTGAATTCAGGAAACATTTCGTGCAAGGTAAAGCGATAAAATCCACTCAATACTTGTTTATATTACCAGCCAAATTATTTCTATGTAAATCTTTAAAAACATCTTTGAGCAGATGTTTCTTCCCTGAAATAAGAACAATTGAAGAGGGACCGCTTAACCTTGGGGGTAATTTTTTCCCATTTCAGACCACTTGTCATTCCCTAGAGTATCATTTCTTTGTCTAACGGTTGTGCTTGAGAAGACACATGAATATGGATACGACTCAAACAAAGAATCTTATTCTCTAGGGAATGACACCTGCAACAAAAATTTGAATTTAGAGCCAAGGCACTATCTGCATTAGCACCGACACTTAATTTATAAGGGGAAATATATTGTTCCATCTGTCGATATGAATAACGGTCTTTGTAACTATAGCCCATATCTATTGGTTAAACATAAGTACATGAATACGGGAAAACATATATAGCTAATCTCATCGACGTCTGTTCAGTAACCATTGACTGCGCCTAACAGCGAGACACGACAGTAGACATAAGATTTCCCCGTTATTAGAAAAAGAAAAGAAAAATATATCTCGGCCGAAAACTGACAAAAACATACATTGGTCTTGAAGAATCAAAACGATTTTCAATCTTCACCAACTTGGAATAGCACTTTCGTGGATTTTTAGCGCCTTTGTGAAGTATTCAGTGATTATTCTTTAATTTTTACCCACTTGAAGTATCATTATTAGTTATTGAATACTTAGCGCCGCTTTCGTGATAATTCTATACCTACCGTGTTGGTTCAACAGTTACCATGATAAACTCTACAGAAATGTTGAACTCGACGGTTACAATGAGCAAGGTGGGTCAATGTTCTGGTGACTCAGAAATGGCTGGAATCTTTAAAGCCTTAACTTATGGTATCATCATCGTTGTATCATTGATTGGAAACATCGCTGTCATAACAGCTGCATGTAAAGACAGAACCATGAACCCGACAATTACTTTGTATATCACTAATATCTGTGCCGCTGATGTTATCATCACACTGGTATACCTCCCTAGAATGGCTGTAAGATATGCTTTACGATCTACGCGATGGGTCATCGGAGGAACGTTAGGATCCATCCTTTGCAAACTGGTGCCATCCATTTATCATGTATCTGTAACAGCATCGATTCTAACGCTTTTAGCTCTCGCTATTGATCGGTTTTTAGCGGTTTTCTATCCGTTGAAAAGGCGTTTTACTGTCTCTAAAACACGACATGGAAAAATAGTCGTTATTATGATCTGGGTGACGGCATTCCTAGCCCGTTCACCTTACCTTTCGGTAACAACCCTCAGACCAAAACCAAACGATAATTTTATTTGTAGCGCAAGTTTTTCAAATCTGTTTGACAACTATCTTTTAATCCGTAACATTTATTATACTCTTCTACTCGTCGCATTTTATCTTATTCCTTTAGTTTTGACTTGTTTTCTTTACCTTGCGATCATTATCCATCTTCGAATGCGTCAAGAAATCTTCACATCTCAACCCAGAATTTTTAACTTCAGAAAGGCAAGCAAAAAGACTGTGTTCACGTTTCTAGCTGTTTCTGTCTCTTTTTCTCTTTGTTGGGGATTGTATTTTTTTGGTCAAGTGGTCTATACTTCGGTTCCCTGCGAAATACGATTTTGGAGAACGTTTTTAGCGAACATGAACTGCGCTATCAGCCCGTGGGTGTTTTTGGCTCTCAACCCTCATCATCGGAGATTACTAAAGCCTTCGAAAGTGATGTTAACGGGGATGTATTCCTTATAAGAAGGCGTTTATTTCCTGAAAGACCTTTACAGCGGTCGAGAAGCGTGACGATATCATTATAATATTAGACTAAAAAAAAAAAAGAAAAGAGAGAAGACTACTTCTGTTAATGTGTAATTCTCAATGTAAAGCGCCTTTGATTATATTCATATAGAAAGGGCGCTATATAAATCATAAATTATCAATTCTATAAGACAAAAAAGTAACTTAGTATCAGACAGCTCTAGCTCCAAGCAAACCGAGCGTTTGTAAACTAGTAGACTGCAAACAATTAATCCGTGAAACACTAATTACTAAATACACGTAGTACAAAATAGTGCTAATTAAACAATAAAGAACAATGGAATTTGCATGAAATTGTGCTATTTAGTATTACTAAAGTTTCACGGTTATATTGTTTGCACTCTATTGTTGGAGAACAAAGATTTAAAAAAAACTATAAACACTTATTTTTCATGAACTTGTCATTTTTCTAATACTATTTCAGGGCAAATATTGTTCTTATGGGAAGTCATTACAGTGTTACGGTATGTCGTACCATGTACGTAACATGTTCTAAGTCAGTACCGAATGTTTCCCACTCATACGATAACCATTCTTATGAGAAGCCATTTCAATGTTACGATATATCGTACCGTGTACGTGCTGTAAGTAAGTACTATGTTTCCCACTCATACGATAACCATTCTTATGGGAAGCCACTTCAATGTTACGGTATGTCGTA